CCCAACATAAATTCAGTTCCAAGCGACAAATACCGTTCAGATAGTGAAGCCGATAAGAAATAGAACCCCTCCGCACACGGAACTCTTTCCTTCTCCATTCCCATCCTACCCTCCCCTCTTTCCGAAAAAAATTTGTCAAATTAAATACTATGCTTATTCCGTCCGGCGACCGAATGCTACCCCTCCTGCTGGGGATCTCCAACGTGCCCTGGTACCAGTTCAATTTTAACGTTATTCTTTTTGTAGTATAGATGAATTCGGAGCTCTTGTCAAATCCTTTATTTGTAAGCGTTTGGCGATAACGCCGTCATCAGACCTTCAAATTACAATACATTAGCGACCTACAGCTACAACAATTACATCAACATCAGCATTAAGACCTACCAAGGGTGGGGAGGGTGAACCTGCCGGTCCGGCGGCATAAGTGAGGAAGATTCTTTTTGTAATGAGCACGTTTGCCTGAGCCCAGGGGAAAGAGCTCCAATTCGTGAGCACCGACTGTGAAAGGGAGTGGCGCTGTTCGATTGGGAGAGGCATTTCGCACTTTCGCTAATTCCTTGGGCCATTTCAATTAATAGCTAAGCTGAAGGCTGCAATTTGGTGTGACCTGCAAACTCCCCTACGGAATGGTACAAGTAAGCCGCTTTGGATACAGGAATTAACAAGGTGACTAAACTAGTTTCGCTAAGTACCACTTGGCGACCCCACCAAGCCGAACGACGCCAAACGGGCTTCCGCACTTCGTGGGAAGTGATTCACTCGCCCCGAAGTCACATTTCTTGCTTCCTCTCACCTTTCTAACTTATTCTTATGATTTCCAGACGCTGTCACATTAAAAGAATTCAGAAAATGGCTCGGCACATTTAAAGGTTCGCTATTTTGGAAGGAATTAACAGCTGCCATATTACGTCAGCGCCTGGAGAAATTCGCCTTTATCAGTCAAAGGGTTGTCTCCTGTCATATTTCCCATAGCTTTTCAGACGCAATTGTTGTGCTTTAA